TCCTGTGTGTGTGTGTGTGTGTGTGTGTGTGTGTGTGTGTGTGTGTGTGTGTGTGTGTGTGTGTGTTGAGGGTGTATGTGCGTCATCAGTGTTTGTTGTTAGCATGTGTGCTTGTTCATGACTGGTCATGCCCTCATTTGAGTGGCCTTAGTTCCTTAATGGAGACACAAGGGGTAGCGAGCAGTTCATGGGGCTGGAACACCTGACAAGGCCAGGTCTAATGTGGAAAAAATATGAGGTGTGTCAGGGAAATGAAAATGATTAGGGTTTTAAACTATTTTTTTCCTGAAAGTTTGACGGCATCACAGCGAGGCACACAGCATTTGTGAAAGTTTTTAATAACAAAATTGGTGAATCTTTAAAAAAAAACATTATATAGAGTTATAGTAAATTATATTGTGGTGTGTTTATGTGCTTGTATGATATTTATTTTCTGTGTTTGTTTGATTTTCTGTGTTGTTTTATAATTTCCGCCCCTGTACATTACTTTGTCAAACTTTAACTTTAAGAACTTGAAATATTTCTGTTTTTTTTTTTAACATTTTAAAACTTTTTTATCATACAGTTTGTTGTTGTTTTGCCAAAAGATAACTGAAAAACTCACGGAGAGGATATTTAATTAATTAGTTATGATAAGCTGTTCTACCTCCGATTAACTTTGTCTTCTCGTACCTTGACTGTATATACAAATGTTGAATATATTATATATATATATTCAATTATTTGAAAGAAACAAATGTAGCTGACAAGCTCCATCTTGGATTTTTTTTTGCCACACTGTATTTCTAGAGTGTTACACAACTTTATTTAAACATGTTCTAATTGCACCTAATGTTCCCTGTGTTTTATCTCAGTTCCTGGAGGGCGCGACCATCGAGGTGGATCAGATCCACACTCACATGCGCCCCCTGCTGATGATGCTGGGGGATTACCGCAGCCTGACGCTCAACGTGGTGAACCGCCTCACCTCCGTCACACGCCTCTTCCCAAACTCTTTCAACGACAAGTTCTGTGATCAGATGATGGTGAGGAACTCAGACCTCCTCATCCAACAACATCAGCTTAAAACACCCGATCGCACAGTTGGGAAATTAGTGTGGCATCAAAAGCGAAATCCTTTAAGTGTGGCGATGTTTGTGCTAGGCTAACAACTTTAGATTTTAGGGTGTCTGACAAAGAATTTGGATTATTGTGCAGATTTAACTAAATACAGTCAATTTAAAGTATTATCAAGAAGACACAGTGTATATATGTTTGCAATTCAACACTTTTGTAGCATATTTTGAATATTGTTGCTAGTAGTTCAACTGGTATGCTACTTGCAGATTTGATTCTTATTATTTATCCTTTTTTCCTTGAATCTTTTGATTGAATATTCCGTCCTTGTTAGTCCCGTATTCTTTCTGTTAAGCAGAAGTGCACACACACATATAATTCACCATCACACAGTCTCATTATTATCTCTCTGTGTCTCTCATAGCAACACCTGAGAAAGTGGATGGAGGTGGTGGTAATAACACACAAGGGAGGCCAGCGCAGCGATGGCAGTGTAAGTATAACACACACACACACACACACACACACACACCTGACAACACTGAGACTTTTTAATACAAATGTGAAATTCTACTCCTGTGTTTCCTCCATTTACTTTA